AAAAAATCTCACCAAAGGGTGATGGAGTCAAAATCTTGACTCGGTCGATATGAACAAGCCAGGGAGGAAGAAGAGATTGAGGGAGATTTAGGTAAGGAAAGTATGATAATTTCGATATCAAAATTTCTTTGTTTTTAGGTTTGGGATAAAGAGTTTCTTTCAAGGATCTTAACTCTCGAACCCATTTGGGATGAGTTAAAGGTTTGGCAAGTCCAAAAGGGGCTGAAGGGAAAGTGGAAAGATGGTTAGGACAATACATTTCAAATGGGGTTTTGCCTCGAGGATTGACTATTTTGTGGTTTGATCGGTTAGTGTCTGTTTTATTGACTAAGGAAATAACAACATCATAAAAGGTCTCTTCTAATTTCGAGGGATTGTAGCATGCTCGATAAAAATTTTCGAATCAAGATATTTGGATATAGTGAGAGTATGTACCTTTCTTCGCCTTCGATTTGTCCTGCAATGCGAGAGAAGGATGAGCAGTCAATTTTGATTGAACTATGTCAAAATTAGAATGAATATTTGAAAACCAATCGGTCCACCACTGAGAAAAACCAAGTGTAGATAAATAGTTCGATTCAAAAGTATAAGGGAAAAAATGCATCGGGTTTTTTGGCAATAGCTTGGCAAACTCCCGTCCAACAGTCGATTCACTTAGTTTAGGCTTTGAGGAGGTATCGAGGGGAAAAAAGGGTAAAGCTTGACTCAATCCAAATTGCCGCGAGAAAAGCTGGGGATAATAAGTGACTAGTTGAAGGTCCTTCGATTGGAAACCCGATACCAGAATATCTTGGGTTAGGTAATTACTCCATACTTCGATTAATTCCGATTGTAACCCGGGAGTAAGAGCAGGGAATTTTGACTTAAACCATACCGGCCCTCGAAGCATGTCACTTACTTTCCCTTGATACACGGTGAAGGGGGCCAAGGTTGAATCAAAATGGAATCGAGTTAATAAAAATCTCAAGTAATTGCGATAAGTGGGCTCGTCGGGTTTGTGGTGAGGATGTCGAGAGGACAATCGAGCACCTTCCAAATTTAAACTTGGGGGAATGTTGGAGGTGGGAGAGAGAATGCTTTCAAAAATTGAGGTGAGCCATAACTAAATGAACCAAATGGGACCTGAAAAATTCCCCGAGGTCCTAGGGGTGTTCAAAATATCGACAATTTCATCGAAAGAAGTATAAACATGGGCCAATAATAACTTCGCTAAATTAATTCGTGGTTGGCGAGTGTGGAGAAGATAGGCAAGATTATAAAGGTGGGATGATATCTGGATGGACCGAGGGCAAAAAACGTGGGTGCAAAGCCAATACACCAGGAAGGACACGTGCTCTTCATCAGAAACAACCACGGTGTGATCATCGATAAAATGTTTCTCGAGAAAATGTCCATAGGCCTTCGATTCCCAATCGATTTTTGACCTTAAAGAGTTATCCGAAGGGAAAGCACCCTTATAGTATTTCTCTCCCGTGGGCTTTAATCCAGTAATAACAGCAATTTCGAAAAGGGTGGGCGAAAAGGGGCCACATGGAAGTTCCAATGCATGTAAGTCCTTATTCCATAAATGAACGGCGAATAAAAACATGGACATATCCAAAAAAGATAAATCACACTGAGACAAATGTAGGAAATCAAAAATCCCTACAACCCTCCAATGGTTCCCAAATTTAGCTTTAACTCGATCAAACCATCTAATGTACAAGGGTTTTTGTGAGGAGGGCCTGTTCGATATACTTTAGACACGATTTGCAAAAAATCTATTCGAACCTCAGGCTGATGGATAAGAACCTTACTCTCTAAAGGAAGGCTAAGAGAAGAAGAAAACGAGCCGCCACAATAGTGGATAGGACCACCAAATGCATAAGTTCTATTATCAGCGACGTAAGGGATGAGTACCTGAGTCTCAGCAATCCGTTGTGAGGCTTCTTCCATCAAAAGGACCGGCGCAAAATTCTTCCCATTGATTTCTATTAGGTTGGAGGGCACTGAGGAAAGTGGGGGGGCGGAGAAATCAGAGGATCTGGAGGTTGCCATTACAGCAGGTAGAGAAGGGAAGACGTAAGGTTGAAGATGAGGAAGTGCAACGAAGGAGAATTGAGACTCGTGGTAAAAAACAAGGGTAAAAGCTGATAAAAGGATTTTAAGAGGCCGAGTTAGGGTATTTGAAACGACGGATGTGAAGAGGATAATTAATGTGGCGTGTGCAGTATGACAAAAGAAATGAGGCGATTTGATGGGTGACATAAAGCAGAAAAAACCCTAAAACCCTAGAAGTTATTTTGGGCCTCCAAGATGGTTGAAGGCGGGAAGCATTTTGTAAGAATATAAAATAAAAATTAATATTTATATTCTTCCAAGGGGGCATTTTGTTAGTAGGAAATCGATAAAGAGATCGAAAAACGAAGGAAAGAAAAAAATCGAGGATCATATGATTGGTTAAAAAACTGATAAAGTGAAAAGATGGTTGGAAAACATTCGATGACCATGTAATAGTATGAATACATAAATCGAGAATTAGAATCGAGAATCGAAGGAGGAGTATTTAATGTCCATTGTTGAAGAAAATCGAGGAATTAGAATCATGTAATGTTAAGGTTAAGGAGAATAAAAAAAACAATGCAAAGTTCTCGAGATTTTGAAATCAAAATCGAGGGAAAAGTTAACATGAACGGCCATCGAAATTCTGGCTAAGTTAGAAAGAGAGGAACAGTTAACGCGCACATAGAACATGGGAAGCGGTTTCTAAATCGTGGCAGAGATCGAAGGTCAAGAGAGCGGTTATCTCATGCATGGGAACGTGAAATACAGTTTTTTAAACCGTAGAACTGAGGGACGTGCATGATGGATCGTGGTGGCAATTTCGTTAACTACTCTTAGGAGGTTACTTGAAAGGCGCTCTATAAATAGAGCAAAAAATGAAGGAAAGGGGGAAATTGGCAGAGAGAACTGAAACACTAGTGAAAAAGTCTACCGGAGAACGACGAAATCATGAAGTTTCTGGCGATCTGGATTTCCATTTTTATTGATTGTCTTTACCGCTTTTTGTACTTTCCCTGGTAATTTATGTTCATGCAATTTATTTTGATGCAGTTTACGTTTAAACAACTTTAAGTTTCTGCACTTTCAATTCCTTGTCACTTACTTCTATGCAAGTTAAGGTTATGCGTTTAAGATCCTCGCCACTTACATTTCTGCAATTTCGAGGTTTTCGCATTTTACATTTCTCTGCAATTTAATATTCTGCACTGCTTTTCGATTCGATATTTTTACTGTTTTCTTTACTTCGCGTGTCTTAATAAAAAATACCAAAAATAATACTTTCGATTGTCAATCTGTATGATAGGTTGCGTTGTTAACAATTCTCGATATTATGGCATTTTCGATTCTCATACATATTTTCGATTGAAAACTATTTGCTAGCCTAAGTAAAAGAATCTACATGATTGAAATTTGGTTAGAACCAAAATCTCTTAGAACCGAAATCGATCAAATTTTCACCAGAAACACAAGTACATAAATTATCATGATTTTTACTCTTAAATAATAATGAACTTATAAACTTATAAAAGAAAATAACAGAAAAAAATTAAATCCGTTCGTATTAAAAATTTAGGTAATAATCTATTTTGTTTTTCTTTTATTTTAAAGAAAATTTACCGAAAAAGTGTATAAGTTTATAAAGAGGTCTAAAAAGACAGTATACATAAAATTCAGTAATATATATAGACATGTAAAATCTTAGCAAATAATTATAATGACACTTTTTATATATAATATTATATTATTAATTCTTTTTCTTTATTTTTACAACAAGTCAACCTCGTAAGTTATAATTATTATAAATCTTTATTTATTTATGATAAAATATTTAACTAAAAACATATAACAACTTATAAATAAGATATTTGTAAAAATTTATAATGTTTTCAGTTATGTTTAATAACTATTTCACTAGTCATTCAACAATTTCTAAGAAAATAAAATAATACTATTTTTTTCATCTAATATAAATATGTGGTGAAAAGAGTACGGAATAACATTTTCTTATCATGAAATGGTTTATAAATTGAATTTCAGGGTTTAAAAATCCGATAAAATCAAATCATATATAATGATGTAACTTTTTTATTAACTAATTATAATGTAGGAGGTTTTATGATTCAATTATCTATTTATTCTGTGACTTTACTAATATTTAATTTATATAAATTAGTAATTTCAAAATATGTTTTTAATAACAAAATTATGTTTTTATTTTCTCAAAAATAAAATTTTACACATTTTATTCAATTGATTTGAATCGAATAAACTAATTCTTAATTGTGCAATAAATTTTAAACAATTCGAATAAACAAAAAACAATTAGTTTACATTTTATTTTATCTAAATACACATCAGAAACAAGTGATACTCTTAACTTATTATACACCACTGTGCTGGAAACCAACTAAACACTTACAAACAAACTACATCAAACCAGGTAAAAGCCCCTAAATCTCACACACATAAATCTGGATTTACAAACCATTCTAAAATATATGCATGAAGGGATTTGGTTCAACCAATCACCAAACCAAATGACTAACATTCTCATACTCAGATATTTCATTCTTTTCTTTAAAACTTAGAGCACGAATTTTAAAAGATTAAAAAAAAACTATAAATGACTGAAACAAAATTCTAGACTAAATAATAAATATACATATAAATCTACCCCAAAACCGATTAGAACTTTGTATTTTAGAGGGAAACAGGAATGCATGTGTAAATAATGATAATAATAATTAAAAAAAAAGAAAAAAAAAGAATGATGAATGATGGTAAGAGAGGAGTTTGGAAGAGACAGGTGGCGGGCAGCTATAAAGGCGAGAAGCGCAATCCTTATTACCTCACATCACGGTCTTTCTTGCCCTGAGAGAACCCAAAATCAAATCAATCCCCGTTATTCCAATCTCACACAACACCACAACACACTCAGATTTTAGATTCTCCCTACAATGGAGTCTACGCCGGTTAATTGGGAAGCCCTAGACTCTCTCCTCATCGATTTCGCCAAATCGGAAAACCTAATTGAAGAAGACTCCTCCGTCCCCTCCCCCTCCTCCTCCTCCTACCACTCCCGCCTCCTCATCCGCCACATCCGACGCTCTCTCCACACCGGCGCCGTCGACGCTGCCGTCCATCTCCTCCGCCTCCACGCCCCCTCCATCCTCACTGACCACAAGATTCTTTTCCGCCTCCACAAACAGGTTCCTCCCTTCTCCCTTCATTACTAACCATGTATCCGACTTATTGTTCTCATTCTTTTTTTTTAAATAATTGATGTGTAGAAATTTATTGAGCTTCTTCGGAAGGGGACTGCGGAGGATCGGGACTCTGCTATCGAGTGTCTGAGGACGTCTCTCGCTCCTTGCGCGCTGGATGCTTATCCGGTATCTGAATAGTTTGTTTGAATTCGCTATTTATGCTCTTTTTCTTTAGTTCGGTTTTGACGGTTGGCTTTTGTATTCAAGGAAGCATATGAGGAATTCAAGCACGTTCTGCTCGCGTTTATATATGACAAGGATGATAAGACTTCTCCCGTGGCAAATGAGGTATAGGTCTCTTCTACTTATACTGAGAAGTTGGGAATTGAATGGGATATCCGTTGATATGTGTTAAGCACATTGGTTTGCATTTATTACACAGTTGTTGTAGCGTTCTTGCACGCACCGTTGGGTACAGTTGTGACTCTACTTTGTAGAAGTTCAATTGAACACAATTAGTCTGGCAAACAAATCCTTCCGTTACTTAATTCACTAAATGTGAATTAAGTCTAAGGGTCTTGCTAAACGGTGCACTAAGCGCACTGCTTAGGGAATTAAAAAGGCAGAAATTTTTATTAAATAATATGGTAATGAATTAAAAAATACATTAACATATTCTCCTCCATGATTATTTTAGTACACTTGCATATGATTTTCAATAAAACCTTTTCCTTTTAATTCTTTAACCGGTTTCTCTATTGCATTAGTTATCATTTTCCTAAGTTTAATCATACAATTATACTAAACCTGGAGAGTCTTTATTACGAAATTATTTTTCCTCATATTTTTAAGCATGCTATATCCAAAGGTACAACTATTGAAGAAGATTAAATGGAAAAGGGTTATTTGCTTGTCTGCACTCCAAGCCCTCAAATTTGATTATTGAGAGGAAATGGAGTATATTATAGGAAGGGGGTAGACCTGCTTCTTAGTTTTCCACGTAGTTATTGCAAAGCTGCAGAACCCTTTCGTGTCCCACTACTGCAATTCAAGGAGAGGCTGTGAGAAAATGATTGTATGCAGACTGACCCTTTTTTACTACTGGCTAAGGTAGTTGAACTCGAGATTCTATTCAGACCCAGGAAGGTTATACAGAATCATAAATTGTGGAATTGTAAAACTCTACAAGATAAATAAAATTCAATATGTCCATATAACATATCATGAATAAATAAGAGGGAAAAAACCCATATATCCCATCAAATACTTAATTAAGCTTAAATTCATAATCATAGTTATAGTTCATAAACATAAGACAGTCAATAACTAAACTCCATACAGAACTCATTACTCATAGGTTATAAATGACAACAGGGCAATTTAAAATACTGTAGTAGTAACTACTCCTAGTAAAACATGACATGAACACCTAGTCCAGACCTCAACAATAGATCATCCAAATTAAAATCATAGTTACTCGAGATCCTCATTAATTCTATTCCATTTAGCAAGATGAAACAGTGACATTAGAAAGATGATCAGTGAATCACAGAAACATAGCTGCATAGGTTGAGGAACCAAACAGTGTTAGACAAACTCAAACATGGCGTAGAAGAGCTCTTGTCGCATAATTGGTGTGAGACGTTGAAGGAGATGTAGTGATGGCTTCCCTTTCCCTTGATTAATATGTTGGTTTTGGGGCTTGGGTTTTATGGGCATTGGTTTTCAGAACTCCAAAACAGAAAAAAACAAAAGAGAAACTTGAGCTGATTCTGAAAGTTGGCGCTCAATAATGTGATCAACACTAACTCGATAAACTCTTTAATTCCACCCATTTTACAATCCCGCAAGATGAGTCCTGACTCTGCTCAGCAGTGGTTCTAAGCACTGGCAAACTTGCCAAGGCATAATTGTGTGATTCTACAAGTTGGGATGTTATTTTGACTACCATGGTCCTTGCACTTCGCCAAAGTGTTTGCTGTTACCACCAAAATAATGACTGAAATCATGACAATAGCATGCTAACGATGCCAGAATACCCATGGGTAGCAAAGCCCTCATTTTACCCCTTTATCATTGTTGTCACTTTGGGGTAACAGCAAAATTTCGTCCCCTTTTCTGTCTTCAATTTTGCACCCTATGTCAAATCCTATCTGAACTCTGAAGCACACCTCAATCTCACCAAAGATCTTTCTCCAGCAGTCTTCAGGGGATTGAAATCCTTTTCCAGCAATTGCAATATTCTTTTCTGTATCCAGTGGGATTGTTTTTTTGTTCCAGTCACCTTGTATGTTTCCTTTACTTTCCTTGTTATTTGCTTTTAATGCTTTGCTTTATATTACTTTTTATTGTTAATTATGAATATGTAATGAATTTTCACAATTTTTTCAATTTGTTTGACTATGTATAGTTTATATAGTAGAATCTAGTTAATATGGATGGATCCGTGTTTGTGATTTCAACAAGTTACGCATTGGTTGTTGAGAAAATAAGACAATCCTCCTCCTTTATCCAGACTTGTCATCATTGGCTAAGAGACCATAGATGAAATTAACATGAATTACTCAATGTGCATATATAGTTCTAGAGCAGTTGTCATCACACTATAGTGTCTTTGGGGTTAGCCGCTTCACACCACTATGTGAAATCTATGACTATGATTCCTAGTTGAGTATGTATCACATATAACTTACAGCAGAGAAGCAAAATATTCAACTGCTTTATTTATTTATTTTTAACTTTTATAGCATATTTGTAAAAATAAATCAATCAAGGGTGTCTAGATATAGCTTCAAATATAGATGGACAATTAGGATTGGCTTCTCAGTAGCGGTTAAGAATCCACAATGGCATCATGATGAGAATCTATTGGACATTAATTGAAATTTGGGGATTAATTGGAACTACTTTAGACTTGAGACAGCAAGACTAAATAGTAATGGGGCTTACTCTATTAAATTTGCCAAGCTTAAGTAGGATGTTCTATTTTAACAAGCCAAGCTTGAGCTTTAATGATCCAACTTGATTCAATTCAACTTGTTTTACACCCCTATTCAACACCCTTCTTTCTTCAAAAATTAAATAAGGGTGTTATCTTCCATAAACAAGGGTTTTATACCCAATACAAATTTATCCTTGCGAGATTTCAATACCTTTGTATTTTTTAAAACCTGTCTTTTTGAAATATTGATGTGCTCTGCCTTAGACATGGTGGCCTGGTAGTTATCTGTTGCTGCTGCTTTTGCAAGTCAAAAAAAAAATGTTTGGAATGGAATATTTTTTTATAGAGTACTCTGCCCTAGACTTGTACTATTAAGTATTCAGAATGTTCTTTTAGTAGTGCTGAAGCACATGTGCTTTAAGCTGGTAATTTAAGTGTCATGCCTGGGGTTGGAAAATCATTCACTTTTCTAATCTGTAAACATGAAAACATGTAAGCTGTAAATATACCATATTAAATAATTCCAATTACTTAGAAAACAAACATTTAGTGATTTTATGTCCTGTATTTTGTCTCCTTAACATGTGCCATATGCACACCTAGGAGAAACCGTTAATATTTATCTATTTTATATGATTGTTTGTAAATGTCTTATTTTTGTGGTAATTTATGTTATGTGCTTAGCTTACTGTTTTAATGGTAGAAAGTAGAAACACTTGTAGGATGTTTCTGTTTTGATTTTTAGGGCACCATTATAGGTGTGTGAGAGACATCTTCACGTTACAGCATCTTGCCAACTGTTTTCTAAGGATATGTCCATGCTCTTGCAAAAACTAATTTCTTTTTTGGGAGAAAATATTAATAGAAGACAGAACATGTTATTTCCTGTCAGTTTTTCATTTTTGAAAGTTTATTTAGATGGACTCATTTAAATATGCAAATTTCATTTGATAATAATAATGATGGAAATTGTATTGATTTTTGTTTATTTTTTAAATCTGATTGTGAGATTTGTGTTTTAGGTTCTATCCTTTGTGTGAACCGTGGTTTGGTAAGCTCATGATGATGCTTGCTTATTTTATGCAGTGGTCAGAACGGAGGAGGCTTGACTTAGCTGGATATATGTCCTCTATGTTACGGGCTCATTTAAATGCCTATGACCCGATTTTTTCAATGGCTCTGAGATATTTAATAAGGTTATCTATCAGCTTATTCTCATTCAGTTGGCAGTAATTGGTCACAACTGCTATTTTATTGCCATGCATTACGCAATTTATTGGAAAAGTTAAATTTTACATTGCATTTTAATTTTGTATTTCCTATCTTTTCTACAGCATACACAGGGTATATTGTTTACGTCAAGGTATTACGTCACCGATCTCTGATCTGACTGAAAGATTGCTCCTTGAAGAGCGTGATCCTCCTGCAACATCGCAAGACATTTTATATGAAGTTCCACCATTTGATGAGGTGTGATATCTATGTTGATAATTCTAGAATTCCTTGCGGAAATTGTTAGAAACTAATCAGATTAATGAAATAAAATCGCATTTATGTTGTATATTATCACTCAATGATATGGCATCAGTCACATATGAGCTCCAGTATATGGTTTTACAAAGGAAATTTTCAGCCTAAATTAAGAAGCACAGGAATTTCAAAAGGCCTTGTTCTTGTGCTCTGACAATCCTTCTCGGTTTTTTCTTACCCTGTTCTCTCATCTCATTTCATTTCCATTACCCAATTCTGCACTTGATCCACACTTCTGCTTTCCATATAAGGAGGTTGTTGCAATGCAAACCAACAAAATACTGAACCTTATCATACACCTTTCAGACATACTCTAATCGGTCTTAGTCCTCTGCTATTATTCCTTCTCCCTGTTATAACTTCAAAAGCCAAGCAAATATTATTGGTGAATTTTATCATTCTGTGAAAACAAATTGTTGAATCTGCATTCACATGTTTGTTTAAATGAACATATCTGTCCCAATTTTTTTATTGTATTTGTACATGCATCACTTTTCAGCTTAAATTATTTGTTTTACTTTGGAATCCAGGTTGACATACAGGCTCTTGCGCATGCCGTAGAACTTACCAGACAAGGGGCAATTGATAGCTTGAGATTCAGTAAGGGTGATCTGTTCCTGGCATTTCAGGTTACATATGATCTTGTTAATTCATCTGCTTTTGCTTCACTTTTGTTAGATATTGTTTAGATATTATTTAATATTATTAAGATATTGTTAGATATTAACCATAATATCAAACAATATCTTCTGTTTATTCTGTTACTTTCAGTTACTCTTTTAGTTGTATCTCTCTACTATAAATAGACTACCTTATGTGTGATTTATACACAAGGGAGATTAATCTCAAACTCTATTTCTTCTATATTCAACATGGTATCAGAGCTTAAGGTTATTTTGAATTTTTTTTTTCGCCTTTGACCACTATTGAAGCCGCCACCACCGCCGCTATCGCTGTCGGTTATTTGGTTATTTGGTAGTGTGAACGTGCATGTCTAGGAAAGTTCTGACAAGGAAAGACTTGGTATTTAAGCGTGTCCATTAGTGACCAACCTCTCTTTCCTGGGAACTTACCTGGTGTACTGGTTCACGGTGCTGTCACTATCGCTTCCGCCCTTTATGAGTTCTTTCGCTCCTTTTAGTACTTCCAATTCTGTCAGTATTGCGTCTGATCCTTCCATCTACACTAACTATGTTAATGTGCACTTATCCATTGACAAGTTAACTGGTCCTAATTATGCCACATGATCATCAGACGTCATATTATGGCTTAAGAGTCAGAAGTATCTTGATCATCTTGTCCCGAAAGCACCTATTCTCACTCCTGGTGAGAAAGACCGTTGGGACACCATTGATGCTCAATTATGCGTGGTTCTCAAGGGTACTCTTGATCCTTCGTTAAAACAAATTTTTCGTTCCTACGAAACATGTGCCAAAATCTGGGAACATGCCAAGTTATTATACACCAATGATACTCAACGTCTCTATGATGTCTGTTCTAAATTTGTAGATGTTATTGCCTCTAAACATCAAGATTCTATGACTGATTATATGGCAAAATTCATGCTCTTTTTCATGAGTTCAATGAGTTATTGCCTCCTTCCCTCGACCCTGCCACCGAGATAGGACAACGATCAAAGTTCTTCATGCTAGGGACATTACACGGACTTGCTGATCAATATTCACATATTCGTGATCAGATTTTGGGTTCTCCGGTTGTCCCCACCTTGACATCGACCTGCTCCACTCTTTTGCGTATACCAGCAAAACCCAACCCTGACACACCTGCTTCTGTTAATGATTCTTCTGCATTGGTATCTCACCGTGATGATCAAACTCGCCCTCGCAAACAGGGAAAAGGGCGTTCTAAGTGTGAACATTGTGGCAAGCTAGGTCACAAGATTGACCAGTGTTATGCATTACATGAGTGTGAACATTGTGGCAAACTAGGTCACAAGATTGACAAGTGTTATGCATTACATGGTCGTCCTACTCGATCTACTGCAGTTGCTCAGACTGATCTTTCCCCACCTTTATCTGCTAAGGATCCTCTTTCTTCTATTTCATCAGACACACCTGCTATGTTCAACAAATTTCTCAAATGGTATAAGGATCAACAGTCTTCTAGTTCCACTGTGTCTGCGTCGCACACACAGGTACATCTTTTGCTGTCTCGACCCAATCTTCTTCTGGTCCTTGGGTTTCGATTCAGAGCCACTCGATCATATTACTCGGTAACAAATCTTTGTTCTCCTCTTTATCCTCTCCTGATCCTTTACCTTTTGTTACACTAGCCGATGGCTCTAGAGTATCATCTCATGGTGTTGGAACTGTTAAACTTTTCCCTTCTTTAACCATTGATAATGTTCTTTATGTCCCTGGGTCTCCTTTTAACCTCGTTATCCATCGGTCGTCTAATTCGTTCTCTTGATTGTGTTGTTTCTTTTACTAACAATTCTCTGTGTTTATAGGACCTGGAGTTCGAAACAGGTGATTGGCACAGGATGTGAGTCTCATGGTCTTTATCATCTTCGTCCCTTTACACATGTTGGTGCAGTTATAGAGTCTCCCTCTCTTCTCCATGCTCAGTTAGGTCATCCAAGTCTTGTTAAGTTACAACAACTTGTCCCTGCCTTATCTAAATTGTCTAGTTTGGCATGTGAGTCGTGTCAATTAGGCAAGCATAGTCGTACTTCCTTTTCTCGTAGTGTCACACGTGGTGCTTCGTCCCCTTTTGTCGTGGTTCACTCTGACATTTGGGGACCTAGCCGCGTTAAGTCTACTTTAGGTTTTCAATACTTTGTTACTTTCATTGATGATTATTCTAGATGCACTTGGTTATTTTTGATGAAAAATCGTTCTGAATTATTTCATATCTTTCAAACTTTTTTCAATGAAATTCAAACTCAGTTCGGTGTTTCTATTAGAGTTTTGCGCAGTGATAATGGTCGTGAATATCTTTCTCATTCTTTTAAACAATTCATGGCTTCTCATAGTATTTTGCATCAAACTTCGTGTGCTTATACACCTCAACAAAATGGTGTAGCTGAACGTAAAAATAGACATCTTATTGAAACAACTCGCACTCTTTTAATTCATGGAGATGTTCCTTAGTATTTTTGGGGTGATGCTCTTCTTACGGCATGTTATCTTGTTAATCGCATGTCATCTTCGGTTCTAGATAATAAAATACCTCATTCCATTTTATTCCCTCATGAACCACTTCATCCCTTATCTCTAATAGTTTTCGGGTCTACATGTTTTGTTCATAATTTTAGTTCTAGTCTTGACAAGCTTTCTCCTAGATCACATAAATGTGTTTTCTTAGGGTTTACAAGATCAAAAAAAGGATACAAATGTTTTTCTCCTTCTCTTAACCGTTATTTTGTGTCTGTAGATGTCACCTTTGATGAGTTCTCTTTTTATTTTAAAAGTTAATCTTCACCTCTGTCTCCATCCAATCTTGTCAACACTCCTAGTACATTTAATGTTCCTGTTGTTCGTGACCCTCTAACCGTGTCTTCTTCACCATTAGATTCTACTCCGTGATCGCCTTCTTCTTCACTCGCCTCTTCGGGTTTATAGTTGCCGAAACCAATCACAACCACCACCATGTGACTCTACTCAAGTGCCAACTACTCTGTCTCCTCCGGATGTGACACCTGAGTCTGACCTTCCCATTGCCCTCCGAAAAGGTATCTGTTCTACATGTAATCCCTCTCCTCATTATATTGGTTTGAGTTATCATCGACTGTCATTACCTTTTTATACATGTCTTTCCTCTCTTTCTTCTGTGGCCATTCCAAAAATTGTCCGTGAAGCTTTAGCCCATCCTGGTTGGCGTTAGGCCATGTTAGATGAACTAAGTGCTCTTCATAATAGTGGAACTTGGGAATTGGTCTCGTTACCGTCTGGGAAATCTGTTGTTGGTTGCAGGTGGGTGTTTGCTATCAAAGTTGGACCTGATGGTACTATTGATTGCCTCAAAGCTCGTCTTATGGCCAAAGGTTATACTCAAATTTTTGGGTTGGATTATGGAGATACTTTTTCCCCTGTGGCAAAGATGACTTCTGTTCGTTTATTTATCGCCATGGCCGCTCTTCAACAATGGTCTCTTTATCAACTAGATGTTAAAAATGCTGTCCTCAATGGTGATTTGCAAGAAGAAATCTATATGGAGCAACCTCCTGGGTTTATTGCTCAGGGGGAGTCTTCTGGGATGGTATGTCGTCTTTGCAAATCCCTATATGGCCTAAAACAGTCTCCTAGGGCCTGGTTTGGAAAGTTTAGGAAGGTTGTTCAACAATTTGGTATGACTCGGTGTGAAGCAGATCACTCTGTCTTTTATCGACACTCAAGTGCTGGATGTGTTTACTTGATAGTATATGTTGATGACATCGTTCTTACAGGTAGTGACAACCATGGCATCTCTCAGTTGAAACATCTCTGTCACCATTTTCAGACCAAAGATCTTGACAAACTTAGATATTTCTTGGGTATTGAGGTGACACAGTCCAATGATGGTATTGTTATATCTCAGAGGAAGTATGCCATGGATATTTTAGAGGAAACTGGGTTGATGAAAGTTTGTTGATACGCCCATGGATCCCAATACTAAACTTTTACCAAATCAGGGGGAGCTTATACCTGATCCTGAGCAGTATAGAAGATTGGTTGGAAAATTGAATTATCTTACAGTTACTCGTCCTGACATTTTCTTTGCAGTTAGTGTGGTAAACCAATTTCTTAATTCCCCATGTGAAGATCATTGGAATGTAGTCATTCGTATCTTAAAATATATTAAAGGATCTCCTGGAAAAGGATTGTTATATGATTCTAATAACCATACAAGAGTTGTTTGCTACTCAGATGCTGATTGGGCAGGATCTCCTTCGGATAGAAGATCTACATCTGGATATTGTGTCTCCATTGGTGGTAACTTGGTCTCATAGAAAAGTAAGAAACAAAGTGTTGTGGCAAGATCTAGTGCAGAAGCAGAATATAGAGCTATAGCCTCAGCTGTTTGTGAACTTGTTTGGCTCAAGCAATTGTTTAGAGAGTTACAATTTGGAGATGTCACTCAAATGTCACTTGTGTGTGACAATCAGGCTGCTCTTCATATTAGTTCTAATCCTGTCTTTCATGAGAGGACCAAACACATTGAGATTGACTGTCATTTCATTCGAGAAAAGATTATGTCTGGAGACATCAAGACTGAGTTTGTTAACTCAAGTGATCAGTTAGCAGATATTTTTACTAAATCTTTACGGGGTCCATTATATTTGTAACAAGCTTGGCACATACGATTTGTATGCTCCAGCTTGAAGGGGAGTGTTAGATATTGTTTAAATATTATTTAATATTGTTAAGATATTGTTAGATATTAACCATAATATCAAACAATATCTTCTGTTAATTCTGTTACTTTCAGTTACTCTTTTAGTTGTATCTCTTTACTATAAATAGACTATCCTATGTGTGATTTATACACAAGGGAGATTAATCACAAACTCTATTTCTTCTATATTCAACAACTTTAAATATTAGCAATGAATTGACTTTTTTTCATAAAATTTTAAAATCTCAATTTCTAGCTTATCATCTTAAAATTCTACTGAGTCTTATGTTCTTCAGGTTAATAAATTTTATTGTACTATAAAATTGTTTACTTTAATATCACATTGATTCTAGAAAATTCAGTTTAAAAAACTCTTCTTTTCTTTTCACATATTAACTGGATCCAGGAAAATATTTCTTTTTTCCTTTCCACTTCCATGCCAAAAAGGAATTATCTCATCACCTTGATAGCTAAGGGAATTTGGATATAAAAGGTGTCAAAAGAAAATCAGTTTTGGGTTAATAAAAAATATGACTAATGATTTCAACCTCTTTCAATAGTAACTTGTGTTTTGCATTGGTGAAATATTTAATTTTTTCACCAATCTTGTCTTCATATTTTTTTTCTTTTTATTGGGTTTTTGTTGCAGAATGAATTATGTCGGATGAGGTTGGATGTTCCACTTCTTGACCAACTTGTTAGAGAGTATTGTGTTTACAGAGGCATTGTTGACTCTGGTATGGCATCTCCTCTGTTGAAGCCTAGCTCTTTCATGTGTGATATGTGTTTTCGTGCTACTTGCTTCTGTTACTTTTATTCTTCATGACATTTTCTCATATAATTAATTTTCATTGGATTTTTTGTATCGCTAAAAATTCATTTTAAATTTAAAGTTGGTTATTTCATGTATGCATTGTAATCCAATAAAAGGTGTTGTGCAATATAAAGTCCTATTCTAAGTTACAATATAACTTATCTAAGTTACAATATAACTTATCTAAATTAATTTTTTTTTTTCAATTTTTGATGAACTTAGCATCCGGGAAGCAACCTATTCCAGAACCCGTGAAATTCAACCCGCAAGACCCTGGGTATTGCTCATCAAGGGATTATTCTCTTGAGATAGAGTGTAACGCCAACAAGCATTCTGATGGTGAAACTTCCATTACCAATGTTCAGATGGACAGGTCCCCTGAAAATAATGCTGATGTGACTAGCATGAGACAAATTGATTTTGAAGTACGATATGCTTCTGAACTCACAAGCCTCCATGAAGACTGTAGCACCAGTGGTTCGCAGCAACATGACGAAGCAAGTGCTTTGCAACGAAGCAGGTTGCCTGGAAATGGAGAAAGGAGCAAGCGCAAGCGATGGAGAGGACGGTATGATGACAATAGTTACATGCCCAATGCTTCTTTAGAAGAGCACAACAAGCAAGAGCATAGCATAAGTACTGTTGTTTCAACTATATCAAAGGAGAAACAGGTATATGTTGGATAAACTTTGATGGTAATCAATCTTGGAGATAATTACTGACAAAATTTTGTTTTGCAGGGCTCTGAAAAGCTTTCTGTACATGATGTTAGTAATGTGGAAGATAGATACGAGATTCTGTTGGGAATGAAGGAATTAGCTAGCAGAGGAATGGCTGCTGAAGCAGTAGAGGAGGTTAATGCTATTGATCCCAATTTCTTTGCCCAGAACTCTGTTTTGCTCTTCCAACTTAAGCAGGTAAGTGGCTTATATTTACTAATATTTTTTCCTTTATTAAATGTACAGTTGTGTTGTAAATGTTACCTTTTAACGAGGGATTGCTGGCTATAGGTTGAATTCCTCAAGTTGGTTGGCTCTGGTGATTATAATGCTGCTTTAAGGGTTGCTTGCACCCATTTGGGTCCTTTAGCTGCTAGTGATCCTGCCTTACTAAAGCCTTTAAAGGAAACTCTTTTGGCTTTGCTACGGCCTAATGAAGATGCTCTTGGAAATGCATTACCTTTGCATGCTCTAGCCGCATCTCTCCAGGTGTTGTGCATTTTTGCCAATCGAATATATCATCAATTATTTCCATTGTTATATATATATATATTTATTTATTTATTTATTTAAATCTGTTGATAATAGGATTTTCTTCATATTGGTGTTTGTCTAGAATTGTTGTGATAAAATTGTAGGTAAGTATGATCCTTGATTCTAATATAGGAGTAAGATTACAAAGTAAAAGATGGAATGTAGTTGCCGTAGGTGAATAGATAAATAAGTGATACATGTTGAAAGCTCTTAAATGTTCACAAACCAACTTAGGGCTCTTTTACACATATGGGTGGGTTAATTACAAGAATGGGGTAATTTTATAATTTAGTACGACGAATGGATAAGTTGTGTTTCACACTAAACCTTTTTTAAATAAAGAAGTAGTGTTTAATATTGATGAGTTATAATTTTTTAAATTAATGAGGTTGTGGTTGGAAGCCCGACTTTTACAGATTGTTTTTTAATACTTTTTGGTGAAGTCGTGTCTAGTAACACAAGATATGTTAAATTAAAAAATAAATTGATATTTACTGGAAAAACTCCCAGTTAGTGGAAGATGCAGACCGTCCCAATATTCTTACTTAGTATCAAATCGCCCCCGAGATACGTGTCTTACCTGAACATAAAAAACACAACGATACCAAGTAAACTAAAACGGATTAAGACATAAAAAATGTTAAAGTTCTCTTGTTAGAGAGAAAAAACAGGAAATTTCCTCGAAGACTGAACATGTGAGGTTTTTCTTTGTCTTCGTGTGTGACCCGATTTTTCTGGTGAGTGCATGTGAGGTTTTTCTTTTTCTTATTCTTTTAGCTTCATTTATTTATTTGTTCTTTTCGTTTCCTTTTTTTTTTTCCTAATACGTATGGTTTTCGTTTCTGGTTTTTCAAAGCCACCGTTGTTATTATTTATTTATTTACTTATGATTTTGGTTTCTGGTCTTTTTATTCAGTATTTGACCAGTTTTTATTTATTTATGCATTTAGTTTGTGGCATTTTTTTTCCGTATCTGACCATGATTTATATCAGTTTGAACATATGAAGTATGTCAATATAAAGTACTTTTTTAAATATTTTTATTTTTACAAAAGTTGTGTAACTAGAGACAACTTTATCTAAAAATATTTAAAATATATATAAGCCATCTAATTAAACACATTATTTTAAAAAATGAAAAAAATAACATGTTTTAAGCATAACTTTTCGTGTATGAAGTTATGTTTTAAAACAAGACTTATTTATTCTTTGCAATAAATTGAAAATAACCCATTCTTGTAAAAAAAAAAGCCCTACCTACATAGTATTGACAGATTGGCGTACTAAATAATGTGTCTTTTTAAAATTTTGTTAGGAAAAAATGTTCATTTTTTTATAAAATAATCATTTATTATGATTTTTAATATGTTTGGGTAAACATATTTAAAAAGTAAAAGTAGAAAAAGAACAGCTTTTTACATTTTCTGAAAAATAATTTGGTGTTGCTTTTCATAAAGAAGCATATGCAGTAAAAGAGATAATTTAAAAAAAAACACGAAATTTATGTAAAAATCACTTTAAAATAAATCACCTTTTACCAATCATTTTTATTTTAAGCACTGAAAAACAAATTTAATATGTACTTCCTAGTAATTATTACTAGCTGTGGGGGGTTATTATATCATACATGAGTTCTTTATAGTGTGATATGTGCCTGTTGGGTTTCATGTAAGTATCTGAAAGCTTTCAAATCGGTGTTTATGGTGAAGGATTTTATTCTATTATTTCTAATTTCTGTAACACTATGAATTTTTTTTCTTCGTTATGTAATGCTGTTTTTACTATATAGGTTGCAGTTGGTCGAAGGTTTGGTGTTGAAGAACCTCAACTCATGAAAATAATGCGAGCCACTCTTTATACTCATAATGAGTGGTTTAAACTTCAAATGTGCAAAGATCGTTTTGAAGGTCTTCTGAGGATTGATTCCTTGAAGGAAGCCAACACTCCCTTCCTTGCACCAGTCTCTACATCCAAGTCCTATGCTGATAGCTGCACAAATGGATCTTCTCAGGCTACAGTATCTTCAGGCACCAGGATGTCAGAAGATGGTAGCAGTCCAACTCCGGTATCTTCAAGGGATGTCATCTGTGACGAAGGCGCAATTCTTAAAGTAATGGTAAGTTATGGATTATCGCCGCTAATTTTTTTCCACAATCAAAATTAAAAATTCAAGTACTGTGTCATGATAGCTTTACATGGGTTTTGACGTCTCCCAATTAAATTCTGTCTTGCAATTTTTTTTTGTTTGAAATTCTTTTATTAAATATTTTGGCAAATTTTAGTTTTACTATCATGATTCTTTGTTGTAATTTTGCGTATGTTAAAACAATAAAAATGTACTTTGCACAGGTTATTTTGTTTCTTACCCTGGCCCATTTCCCTTTTATTGCTGTTTCTTGACCTCATTCTCATTGTTGTGTCGTCAAATACTATTTCTTCTTTTACAAGGTAGATAAAATAAAATGCATGAATATGCATTTTCCGGTTATGAACTTGCAATGAACCTTCCGTTTTTCTTGTAAGTGCCTATTTTGGGCTAATATCTTAATGTTTTTCTCCTTTGTTGGTACTTATACGACAATTTATGATAATTAATTTTTATTATGGCTACTAAATAATATCATGTCATAAATGTTGCTTTAGTTTTTCTCTTTATCATAATTCTTACTGTAGGAGTCTTATAGCTTTGAAAATCATTTTCCGTACGACTTATTTCGCATGCAGGGTGTGTTCTGATGCTCGAGTTTTTGGTGAATGCAGGAGTTTTTAGCTTTGCCTAGGGCTGATGCAATACATCTACTTTCACAATACAACGGAAATGCAGAGACAGTCATTCAGCAGATATTTGCCTAGTTGCGTAGGAAATTCGGGTCTTCTATTTTGAAGAAAGGTCAAATGATCTTTTCAATATTATTTTATTCAAATTTGTGAATGTTTTATACCCTTGTACATATAGCTGCAAAGAGGAAGTCACTGTAATGTTTGAAATCCGAATTGATGGAAACCACTCTCGTCTGTACAGAATCTATTGATTATTACCTCTCAATTTTATTATGAGAAAGTTGTAATTAATAAAAAAATTATTGGCGTGACATAAGGGGGATTCACAAAAAGATAATGATACTCTTGGGTACACTTTTGGAGCGCAATTCACGGATGAACAACCATTCAAGAAGGTGATTATGAGAAATCTGCATTTTAACTACACATTTTAATATAATATTATTATGTTATTGAATGTAGGGGTGTAGATATATCACCCCTCGGTGATTATTTCGTGCTGTTGTTTGCACAGTTAATACATGGCAGCGATTAAGGCCGTGCCTGATTTCTTTCTAATTTGTTGTAAAATCATTTTTATAATCATTTCATGTATATCAACAATCAAATCTTGATATAGAATGTATGAAGTTTTAAAGTCGTTTTTAAGTAAGTATTTGAAAAATTGAAATAGAGGTAGGTGAGTGATGCATTTTCATTTTTTATAGCTGAAGAGAGTGAGTTACTTGGGTGTAAAATGTGACCAGGTATAAGCTTAGTGCTAGTTTCTTGTTTTTTTTTACCCATTAAAAAACTTTCTGATAATTGAAATAGATGCATCCTTAAATTGTCTTTTTTATAGGTTGACCCCCTTCTCTGGGTGTTTGTCTATATTCATTAGGGCTTAAATTTTGGTTGGACTGAATTTTTAGAATAAAGTATGTCCTTCAATTCAGAGAAACTTGTGAGTTAATACACTTAGGATATAAAGAAGAAATTGAATAAATTCGAATGAGGGCACTAATATAAATAAATGATACTCTGAAGTTATTAGTCGTTTCATTTTAATTTTAAAATATAGGAAAGTAGCTTTTAATTTTAGCAAGGGCATGACAACTAGAACAATTTAGGAGTTGTTCTAATGTTTGACATGAGAGGTGATTAAAAATTATAATGCCTCTACCGTGTTATTGTAAAAAAGCAGAAGGTGAATGATAAAGAAACAACTACTTTTCTTTATCAAATATATTTTTCATATCATTAGGATAAATATTTATATTTATTATAATTAAATATTTTGTTTAATACTTATATAATATGAATTATTTTGTTAAATTTTTAATTGTCACTATTCAATAATAAAATAATTTTATATCATGTGAACTATATATATAATAATGTGTATAATTTTAACGGTCAAATTTAATGATAATTTATGGGATATAAAATTAATAATTTTTTAATAATAATTAAAAATTTAATAGAGTAATTAATAATATATAAAAGTTAATTAACATATTTTAATTATACTATATATAAATATTTGTCATAATTACTGTATAAAATATAATTTATTTTTATTTTTTCAGTATATTAATAAGAGTTATTTATAAGTATATAATATATAAGATAAATTAACTTATTCACATATTTCACATATAATCCTACTTAACTGCTATACTTAATTCAACTTTTAAATTTTTTTTTTTACCTTTTCTCCTTATTTAGATCATAATTAAGGATTTAAAAATGTGATTGAGATGACATTAGTACATATAGAAATGTTTACATGTCTTAGGTGGCATATATTCAATGTGAATGCAAAGGACTTTGAACTTAAAATATAAATCCTTTCTTACAATCTAATATAATTGAGGTATAATTCTTTTAACATATATTTAATTTTAGAGGTCTGAGCCACATGATGATAACTAGAACAAAAATTTATAGAAAAAAATTATCTACTACTTTTACGAGCACACTAAAAGTTAATTCAACCATTTATATGGTTATGTTATACTCAATTACTTGTTAGCCGTTTTGATAAAATATTGTAATTTGATTGATTAATATTTAGTGGAATAAATATGTTTGAGGCAGCTTTTAAGAACGCTTAAGAGTTATGTCCAAATGTATAAATTAGTACTCATTCTATTAATTTGTTATTTGACACTAACATAAACAAGATTATTATAAATGAGAAATCTCTAAATTTTTAAAATCATTACATTTTTAAATACTCAGAAGCGTAGTTTCGTAGATCATAAATTGTTTTTTAGGGTAAATTTAAATTAAATAAAATTTAGTTTTATGATAATATTTTTAAATTAATTTCCACGTTTAATATATTATTTACTTAAAAATTTGTTCAGTCACAATTTTATTTTAAAAAAATATTTTGAGAGATTAAAAGGTAAGAGGTATATAAATTATTTTTTTAATCTCAATTTTTAATTGATGGAAGACTTATTAATATATCGTAATAATAAATAAATAAAATTATGTTTATTTTGATAAATTATAATTATATTTTTCAAATATCCATTAATTAGAAATTACGTTAAATAGGATTTTTAATAATCAACTATTAATGATTTTCAATTGTATAACAAATTAACACTGGAGATTTTGAATTTTAAATTTTCTACAAATCAATCTATAAAAAAATAATGACAGAAATAAACTTTAAAATAATTATAATAAAAATTAACAAAATTAATATTATGATACTTGACTGTTACCCGATAAAGTATCATTTTCTACATGATCCATGTTTATTTTTTTTACTAACTTTATTTCACAATATCAAAATATTTTTACATGATTATGAAATTATTATTCTGATCGAAGTTATTGATTTATATATTTAAATATCACAGTGGATTTGATGCAAGTCTTCGATTGGTGGTAGGTTTTGTTGCAAATAAAAGGCGTGCAGAGCCGCGTGTGTGCGGGCATCACCTTTTACTTCTTCCAACGTCCTTACCTGGACACCGTCACCACGTTTCCAACAAATTCAAATCAATCAATTTGCGTTGCCAAATATTTTAAAGAAAAATAAAAATAACAGTGACTGGTTAAAAAAAATAAAAAATGTTATGAAAAAAATTAATTCGGTAAAATTTAAATGATGGATAATTATGTTAGTAGTACCACACCATTCTTATTTTATAGTCATGATTATATATATATATATATATACGCTTATACAAAATATTATTAGAAGAAAAAAGAAGAAGCTAAAAGTCAAGATGGAACACATCGTTTGAAAGTTCCCTATCTCTTAAAAACTTATGTTGAGGTCATGCTTTGAAGAGATAATGGGACTTTTATTTAACCCTAGCCATTGAAATCAAAATGAAGACCAATTCATTTTGAATACGACAACCTTTGACTTTCATTGACATTGGACTATATGCTTTGCACGAAAATAAAGCATCTCTGATAATACAACACATGCGCCATAAAAAATCGGCAGAACTAATTAGTCACTAAACAATTTCAATATAACAAATTATCACAGAATCCACTTTAATAAGTTTTATAATCCAAAATAATTAATCTGAGGCTTAATATAACAAGAAAAACAAATAAATTAAATATAATTATTACCCAAACATTAAGCAATTAATTTTAAGAACTGAAACTATAAAAAATATTAAGATGATATCTTCATTTAGTTACATAACTAAAATTCACTTATTCCAACATTAAATATAATATCTATAAGAGAGTTACTTTTTATATTTTTATATTATTTTAATTTAGTTTTTTAATATAATGAATGATTTTAATTATTAGAGTGCAGAAAAATAATAAAAATAAAAATTTCTCTTATGTGTAGTTGAAGTTAATTTATTTTTCAATATAATATTTTAAAAAATAAAATATTGATAAAAACCAGCTCATAAACCACTCATATTTAATTTTACTATTTAAAATCAGTTAATACCTGACACCATAAATTATTAGCACAGCTAAGAAACTTATCTGACACCTAATTAACATTGCCCACTGAAAAGCCTTAATAATTAAGCATTTATGATAATAGTTCACCCTTACGCTGTGTTTGTTTGAACTGATTTGCGATGAAATACTATTCACGAAGACAGAAACACGACATTCACACACGTTTGGTTGAACTGATTTGCGACGAATTACAGGCGAGGAAAAGGGGGAGATGAGAGAGAGAGTTTCTTCGCTGAGGTGCGAAGAAAAGAGATGAAAGTAATGAAAAGACGCAGCTTACCCTGCAATATATGATAGCGGTTAAATCCTAACCGCTATTATAACAAGACTTCTAATAGCTGTTAAGCCTTAACCGCTATCTAATATACACTTAAGATAGCGATTATGGAGGAACCGCTATTATATCAAATTTCGCTCGAGCGAGATATAGTCGCTCAAGCGAAACACAACCCCAGTACACAACAAGGTTCTTAAAAGGAGCTTATAATAGCGGTTAAACCTTAACCGCTATCTAATATACACTTTAGATAGCTGATTACTGAGGAACCGCTATTATATCCTCCAATTATGATCGATCATTTCACGTTATGATCGATCGAATCAAATTTCGCTCGAGCGAGATATAGTCGCTCAAGCGAAACACAACCCGTGACTCAAGAAATTAAAATATGATTAGTATATGATAGCGGTTCCACAGGAACCGCTATCTAATATATACTTTAGATAGCTGGCTATGAGGAACCGCTATTATATCCTCCAATTATGATCGATCATTTCAACTTATGATCGATCAGGATCGTATTTCGCTCGAGCGAGATATAGTCGCTCGAGCGAAATACGGCTTATGAGCTCACGCTTTGAGAGTTGCTGTAGCCTTACCTAAGCTCCGCTTTTTCAGCTCAATCCAATCAGCAAGTGGGATTAGAGAGCAAGTCGGCGTGGGGGCAAAGGCAATAACATCCGACTCTACTTTCTTTAATCCGACTCGGCACCGATTCAATCAGGAATTGAGAAGCAGCAGGGAGTTGATGAAACACTTTAAGAACCATTCTTAAAGGGAGCTTATAATAGAGGTTAAACCTTAACCTCTAATAAATTTAAATATTAAAATTAACTTTATCAAAAATTAGGGAAACAAAATTTATCCAAAAGAGTTCAAAATGTATAAGAGTATTCTCAATTTTGATGTTTAATTATATTATTAATTCTCAAAGTAGAAAATTATATTGTAATTGTTTATTTATATAATTTTTAATAACTATCTAAAAAAAGTTAATTTTTTAAATTTGTTTCCAATTACAAACACTTTTAATTTTGTTTTTTCTTTTAAATATATAATCAATGTTATACTTGGTTCACCCAATACCAGGGCTACGTCCGAGTCTCCAGCTAAATTCCAGCTGGGTTCCAAGCAATTGTTATACTTGGTTCACCCAATAAATTGATTGCTTTGTTTTTTTAAAAACTGATATGATAAAAGTTCCAAGCAATTCGTTTATAAAAGAGTTTTCTAAAAAACTGCATTAATTAATCTGTTCAAAGTTTGTTTTAATCTGTTGAAATAGTCGTTATAATCTGTTAAAAGTCCTTTCAACCCATTAATGCGTTCTTGTTCTTTAACGTAATTGTTTTAGCCGATACGACCAAGTTTTTATCAGCTTAAAACTTTTTACAAACATTTTCTAAGAGTGATTTAATCGATTGATTTGCGGTTTAATCGATTGATTCAGATTTAAAACTTTCTTATAACACTTTTCAAGTTATTTTAACTGATACAAAGAAGTTTTAATCGATTAAAAACCTGCATTGAATTTTTTCTAAGTCATTTTAATCGATTGAAATTCGCTTTAATCGATTGAAACTCTGTACAAAAATTTTCAAGTCATTTTAATCGATTGAAATTTGTTTTAATCGATTGAAATAAGTCTGATCGGCCATAATTCAATTCTGATCGATCATAACCAACTCTGATCGGTCATAATTACATTCTGATCGATCATCCTGACTTCCAAAGTGGTTTTAATCGATTAAAACGTGTTTTAATCGATTAAAATAAATCGAGCGAGATCATACTTTGCTAGTCGCTCGAGCGAGATCAGTTTCGCTCAAGCGAAAAACAACCCGGGGATGAAAATTATGTGCAGGTGTCTTCGCTCGAGCGAGTTTAATGTCGCTCAAGCGAAATATAACTTGTAATAGCGGTTAAACCATAACCGCTATCTAATATATACTTTAAATAGCGGTTAAAGAGGAACCGCTATGATATCCTCCAATTATGATCGATCATTTCAAATTATGATCGATCAGGATGGTATTTCGCTCGAGCGAGAGTATAATCGCTCGAGCGAAATAAAACCCGAGACTCGAATCTTAAAATATTTTTTTTGAATATTATGTTTTTTAATTTGTTATTAGAGAAAACCTTTCGAATTCAAAATGTTAAATTATATTTTAGATATATATATATATATATATATATATATATATATATATATAATTATACATTAAAATAAATTCAAATTTGGAGCCTTTAGATAGCGGTTATTCTGGAACCGCTATCATATGTGAACATATGATAGGGGTTCCAGGTGAACCGCTATCTAAAGTGTCGAGGTTTTGGAAAAGTGATCGATCATTTTGGCAAAATAATCGATCATTTGAAAACTTGTACCTAAATGACGAGCAACTTATGCTTCAAATGTTATAATCATTTTTGTACTCACCCATCACATGTTAGACGACTTTTTGGCTTGCTCTCACATCTTCGTCTCTCCCAGATTGTTCATGTTCTTGAATGAAGGTGATTGAATGATTTGAACCTGGAAGACTTGATCGCAAAAGATGGATAAGATTATAATTATTTGTTTGAAGAAGCATTAGTGTGCATAGATTTATAATTTTAGTAATCTTTCCTTTAATTATTATTCTATTTTCACTCGTATTTTATATTTGTTTTAAATAATAATGTACAATTATATTATTAGTTTTCATAATTATTTGTTATTATCAATCAATATTAATTATTATTTTATATTTTATAATTATTTAATTATTAGTCAAATAATTTTTTTAATATGTCAACATTATTTGAATATGGATATGCAATGTACATAATTTTGTAATTGTTTATTTATATAATTTTTAATAACTATCTAAAAAAAGTTAATTTTTTAAACTTGTTTCCAATTACAAACACTTTTAAATTTGTTTTTTCTTTTAAATATATAATCAATGTTAAAATATGGATAATTAATTAAAAAATTATATTTATAATCATTTGAACCTTATTTTATACAAAGAGTAAAATGATAATTTTCTTAAATAATCAACATAAAATTATAATTTTTATATCTCATATCAATCAAATCATTCACAATTTCCCATAAACTTTCCTTTCACTTTTCAATCATTATTTTAAAATTTCTATAACACTGAATATTTTCTAAAAAGCACTCCAGGTATATATAATGCATTTCTGTAAACATATTATTTATCATTAACTAAAATTGATTAAAAATCAAAATTATCTGAGTCTCACCCTCATCAAACAAATTAGAACACTCTGTTAAAATATTTTTGTTGAATATAACGGATTGACGCGTACAGGTTTTTCGTTCCTCAACATAAACCTCAGCCTTTGCCTACTATTCTCTATTTTATGCCTCACAGTTTCTCTTTCTTTGCTGTTCCAAACATTCAACTCAAGTTCTTGTTCTCTCACTTGTCTTTCTTCTGGAACACCAATAGTACTAAAAGTCATGTGTTTCCTCAACAAGGTGGTACTGTGGTCCTCACTTCTAATAAAACCATTTGCCCTTTTTGCTGTCAGCAACAATGTGCTTCTTCTTTTTTGCCGACCCTTCCAAGTTACCATCATTCTTGCCTTTTATTTTTTTTGTTTGTTTCCGTTTCCTAAACGTTTCAAACACCCTGGAACTGGCTCTTACCTTATCTTTCCCTCTTCACACTTACTTTTGAAATTTATTGCTTTCACTCTGACCAAACCGGGGAAGGGAAAAAAAAAAAAATGAATGCTTTGAGCTCTCTCTGCATGTTTCGATCTGATTCATTGGTCTTAAATGTAACTTTCCTTTGATGAGTTCGTGTGACTGGAACAAGTGCTTCTAAAGTTTCTGTCTTTCATCCTTTGAAGCACCAAATTTGATTTTACCCTGTGCCTTTTTTCTTTCCTTTGAGATGGTTGTGACGTTTTTCTCTTACTTCGGTTGTAGGACATTCTGGTTATAAAGCCTCCGAAGAAATCACCTTTGTTGTTAAGGATGCTGGTGTTGATCTTTTCAATGGTTTGTGGTGTTTTTATCTGTTCCGTGTGTCTAAAGCAGATAAGCACTCATGCTAGGACTATGCTTATGGAGTTGCCAACTGAGAAACCTCATCGGAATAGATTGGGCCTAACTGATGTTCCTTGGTTGCATTACCCCAATCCTGTGTCTTTCAACAGGTAACGTGAAGAAGTTTCTGTGCGTTATGTTCATTTTGTCTTTGGTTAGGGTCTTGTTAATTGATTTTTGGCTTTGATAGGAATGAATGTGCAAGGAGTCCTGTGCGATTTTTTGCTATTTTGTCAAATCAGAGATCAGGAAGTGGGTGGTTTGAGACCCTTTTGAATAGCCATATTAATGTGAGCTCCAACGGGGAGATTTTTTCAGTTAGAGAAAGAAGAGTAAATGTTTCTACCATTGTGCAGACTCTGGATAAAGTTTACAACCTAGACTGGTTCAGTAGTGCTTCTAAGAATGAGTGCTCAGCCGCAGTTGGATTGAAGTGGATGCTTAATCAGGTAAAAGTGGTCACTGTTGAGTCTTATTCCAGAGTGTAGTTATCTGGTTTATGCGTCACAAACATACTTAAACACGAGTTTTTCAAGAAAGAGGAAATGTTATTTTTGTTGGCATAAATGCCCTCGTATTAATGGCTTAGGTTGCAATGTAATTTTTTGTGCCCCCCACCGCTTCTTTATGCATTTGATGTGAAGGATCCAAGTGAAACTTGACCATGTGCTTGACTTTGAGGACAAGTACTTGTTCTGAGACTCTGGAACATTGTTATCAATTTATGTCTACCAGTTATGATCATCGACTAAAGTAGGGCCACCTTGTTGCATATCAATATAATTAAATATTGGGAAAATTATGCTTATGCCCCCTGATGGTTTAGTGATAACAAAATACTGTGTAGTTACCCTTTTGTTTGATACAGATCACCTTTGATTTCCTATGATTTATATGTATTGAGGTCGGTCGGTGCAATGTCTAAAACAAGGGGTATTGTAAAATCATTAAATGTCAGCGTGTGTGAATGTATTTTGCCCTATAATTTAATATGAGATTTATTTAGCAGTATTTTTGTTTGTATCATAGAAATAGTGATGACTTCTACCCAGGCTTTGCAATTCTGTTTTATAGATTAGTATTTAGTAATATCAAGACTATTTTTGATTTTGAGCAGGGATTAATGGAGCACCCTAAGGAAGTAGCAGATTACTTCAACCGTAGAGGTGTTTCTGTCATATTTCTTTTTCGAAGAAACTTGTTACGCAGAATGGTATCAATGCTTGCCAACTCCTATGACCGATATGCTAAACTATTGAGTGGAGCTCATAAGTCTCATGTACATTCCACAGAAGAGGTCTCTCTCTAACTATCTATCTATCTATATATATATATTGCTTTTCCTTAATATCTTTTACATAAAATGAAATTCATTTGGCTTCTTTTAGGCTGATACTCTTTCAAAGTACAAACCTATCATTAATTCTACATCACTGCTGGCTGATTTGAAGGATATGGAGATGAGAACTGCTAAGGCATTAGAATATTTCAATATCACTAGGCATATGATCCTATACTATGAGGATCTTATAAGAAATCGTACTGTAAGTGCCTCGGGATTAACTCCTTCATTTTGTACTGAAAGTTTCAATAATTACCTTTTATATGCATAGTTTGAGCACCATTTTTAAGCAAAAACTTTATATGACAGTCTAGGAAGTAATTTCAATTTTATCACAAATCTTACATCAGTTTCTTCCTTCTCTCCCCAAGTCATATTCCTGCACACACTTTAAGTTTAAAAAATTAATAGTTGTTTTGTGTGAAAATCAGCTATATTTAATAAAGTATATTGTGAAAAAATGAAGCTACAAGTAGGTGATATAGCTAACATTTTTGAAAACGATTTTCACTGAACTGCTAACATGGTTGATATAGCGAACTTTTGTTTCTTGAAAATGAATTTATGTGTATATTTGAAGTTGACAAAATATATTTGTTTCACATTTCTTCAGAAGCTGAAAGACGTGCAAGAGTTTTTAGGATTGCCACAGATGGAATTAACAAGCCGTCAGGTTAAGATACACAGAGGACCGTTGTCAGATCACATTAAAAATTGGGATGACGTGAACAACACTCTACAAGGAACTGCTTATGAGAGTTTCCTCCAAGCTGATTATTCTTCTTAACCTCCTCTAACTCCTGGAAAGGTGTAAATATCAACACTGATTTTGCTCAGGAAACAGTTTAAAGTTTTGGTGCTGGTTTGAAAACTGTCTCCACATTCTGATTCTTTCACTCCATTTGTGAGATGTACGTTCCTTCGTAATCTTATTTTTGAGCATTTTTTAATTACTTTGTAATATTATTTTTGAGCAGTTTTGAATTACGTTGTACATGCCCAGCTAATTTATGAGCAAAGATGAACAATAGTTTCATTCAAAGGACTTCTTTATGTTTTATTATTCTTTTTTCCCTTTCGTTATTCTATGTAATTGAACTGTACATATATTTGGAAGTCTTAAGTGATTCTTTCTGAGAGATCTATCTGCCTGCTATCAGTAGTATATTTCTGTTTCCGACATGATTGGATGACAATGTAAACGTTGATTTAAATAATTTCTGAAGGAGTAGTTGTTTATTTTTTAAAAGCTTTCTAAGGTTGGCAAAACAAGTGATTATTTATCTAGAATAAGCTGATCGATTTTAACATGTTTTAGATGTTGTATCAAAATCAATTGGTTTTAAATAAAGTTGGTTGTTCAACATATATAAACATCCCAAGTAGACAACGTGAGACTTATTAACATCTCCCTTTATAGATGTATGGTAGAAAATGGTAGTTTATCAGGATAGGTGATTTATCGAAGTTATCATAGGTAAGGTAAACAACGTCGAACTTTCTGATATGCACAAAAAGTGATACATGTCAATCAGGACTATTTTTAAAGTTTGTTTATGTTTTGTTATTAAGAGACCTGTAGTAACCACCATTATAAGTTTCTGTAAGTGTAAAACTGGCAATGCAAACTAGGCCTTGAAATGAGGTATGGCTTCTCATAAACTTTTACAGTTGACAGAAGAAAACAAACAATTAAAAACACATTAGGACATTAAACTTTGTTGTATTGTATTTGTTGTTGTTAAGAAGTGGTTGCTCTCTAAAATCATGGTTATGGTCTTCATAAAAAATGGATGGAAGATTAGAGATGTGAGCTGGCAGGGAAACCATAAATTTCAGCTTATTAAGGAAAAGGAAACTAAATTATAACTTTGACTAATCAATGGCCCCATCACAATACCATCAACCTTACAACCCTGTAATAATAGGAGACATATGGTGATAAGGTTCCACATGTTACCCCCCTCCATCAACGGCAACTGCTTCCTGTTTGTAGGCACCATGTAAAAGAACAGTTGTTTTATAATTTGGCTTTTTGAAATAACTTTAAAAGTTGTCAACTAAATTCAAAGATAACCATTTGTCAAACATGTAAGATGTTTTCCCACCCATCGTTGATTTTATTTTGTGAATTTTGATACAGAATTTATAATATCGACTTTTTTCTTTTCTGAGATTTTTTCCTTGCTTGATTAACAAACGCAAACTTAAATTTGACAGCGTTGTGTAGTGAAATTGCAAAGGAGTTTCATAATCTATTATAGATATAGCTTTATGCTGACACTCGAGAATCTGAAATTTTGTTGGATCGGACCGTTACCTCATGAATAAAGGTAGAGTTATTGATCATGCAATTTATTTACTTTAATGCATCTGCTTAAGCATCATGTCAATTTGACTTTGTCCATAATTTCTCAACTTCCTACAACCCTATGGAGGGCCATACTTAATGGTAAAAGTAATAAGTGCCCCCTACAACAACCAAAGCAACTTGATTTTGGATCCATTGTGGCAATCTTTTACCACTAATGGAAGAAATTAATACACACCTCATGTTTCACATATAGTCTCTAAAGTAAAAGTAACAGTTATTGATGAATATAACCAAGTTGTCTCACTTATATTCCCGTTTCATCATTCCTTCCATTAAGCCAAACACTTGAATCCAGGGATGTTCGAACTTGGTGTTTTATTACTGAATAACTGTTAAAGTTGACACCATACCTACACTTTCCTTGTTATATTGCTTAAAGTACATTTTTCCTGCATGCGCTAATTAATGATCGCCACCACCTTCAACAACTTCGATGGTCATATAGAGAACGCTGCAAATTGTTTGTCAAGTCTAATATTGAAACGAAAAGAAGGAAGCATTATGTTTTTTTTTTTTCATAAAATAAACTAAATTACTTCTTTAGTCCTTATATATTTATACAACTTATTTAATTTGGTCTTGTATTATAAATGGAACTCATTAATATAATATTTATATAGTTTTAATTATTTGTCGTAAAAGTGTAAGTGTGAAACTGGTTGGTTCAGTCTTATATTTTTAAAGATTGTGATTTTAGGCTTATTTGATTTTATATTGGGTTAACGGGTCTTTTCAACTTTTTAAAAATTAATTAAAAAAATTATATTTTTAAATTTTAAATTATATTAATGAAAAAAATATAATAATATAATCTTTAAATTATAATAAATATATAATATTTTTTTAAAAATTGTAATTACACGTGGAGAATATATTTACATTGTGTATTTTCGTCCTAAAATGTATCAAAAATATGTTTTGATTGTATGTAGGATCCGAAAAAAAGTATATTATACTTTTTCTCCATTAAGAATAAAAACCCAATTACACAACGACGATGCAAAAATATGTTTAAAGGAATATGGGTGCCAATAGCAATCTACAATTACCATTCCCAAACAAACATCATTACGTTTGTTTTCAATACAGGAAGAGTTTTGTTCTTTGGGCTGTGAAATAGAATAGCCCGAAATTTGAAGCCCACGTCTAGTTTTTCTTTTCAAAACTAACATATGTTTCTTTAGGATGCTTCACACATCCCATATTCATAATATATATATATATATATATATATATATATATATATACATATATATATATATATTGCATTTAATATAAAATAGATTATGAATTTACCTTTTTAGAAGTTTTTTTATATTTTTTTATTCATTTTTGTAGAAATTTCTTGGAGTGAAAGACCGCCCAGCCAAAAAAGAGAATCGCCAAGTGACGCAGCGGTAAACGAAGCATGATTCAGTGATAAACTAAGTCCTGTCTTTCACTCAACTGCATAATTACATTTTGATTCTGGACTTAATTATGATTAGTGTAGATTTATACAAGTATTTGATAAATACTGATGCAAGAATGTTTGTAAAATCGACTTTCTAATGAGGCAATCAAGATACTTATCTAAATAGTTCACTTTAAAAGTTTTCGTAATTATAATAATTGAGTATCAGAATTTGAGTGTCAAAACATGCTCGATGGAAAAGTTTGAAATGGCTAAAAAATAGGTTAAATTAAGTAAAAAAATTATAATTTAAATAAAATTAGATAAATTTTTGTCCACTTTATTTAGACCATATTTAAATGAATTAAATTCATGTAAATTTGTAGGTTAACTTGTTTTATAAAATAATAATTATTTTATCAATAAAAAAATATTATTTTATTAAAAAATATACATATAATAAATTAATTTGATAATATATATTGTTATATATATATATATATATATATATATATATATAATTTTAAAAAATAATCAATTTTAAACATAATTTAATTTGTTTTTCTCGTCTCCGTTCTTGTTATTGTCCTCACATTTGTTTGAAACCACTAATAATTTAAGACAATATATTCTTAAAAAATAGTGTATTTTTAAAGTATGAGAGTTATATTGGATAATAAGTCTAGTTTTATTGAAATAATAAAAATATGATTTTAAAATGTATTGATATGCATGTACAAGATACATTATTAAGCACGATTGGACATGATCTTCAATTTAAACACAAGGGAGTTTAGAAAGTAGATAAAATTTTGAATCTTGATTTTAAAACAATTACTAAAAACACTTCAGTTACATAAATTTATAAATTGTATTTAACAAAACAAATATCTAATATTTTTGATAAGATATTTTAAACCAATTATAAGAAACACTTCTATTACAGAAATTTATAACGTATATTTAATAAAAATAAAAAAATTAAAAAAATATATTATCTAATATATTTGGTAGAATATGTTTAATTTCTTATATATAAACCATTATAATTCGTAAAGACTAACAACTCAACTCATTTTTATGATTTTATTTGTCTGAGCACATTATGAGTTAATATAAAAAAACAGATAAATGACATATATTTCTTTTCAAACAAAATAAAAAAATTATATAAACAAAAAAAATTTTTAATTAGACTACAAATAATCTGTTCGCTTGTTGGCTTAAAATAGGATCAAGCGTAAATTTTTTTTACCAGTTTAAAAATATAAACTAAACTAGATCATTAAAAAAATTTGTTGTAGTTAAGCCTTAAGACCAAGTAAGGCCAAATTGGACATGACCTGTAGGACCATGCCAAACCAGATTAGGCAGCCTGTTTTGACGGTCATGATTAGAAAGGTTAGATTTAGTTTTAGTTGTTAGTTTTGTAAACAGTTTTAGAAATTATTTTTTAAAAAATATTTATGAAAAAAATAAATTGTTTGATAGCTATTGCAATTAACATCACGTTAAAAATGTATAAACTTGATGAAGTTGTGACTATAGTTTATTCACATATGATATGTTGTGCTCTTTATCTTTATAATGAAGAATTAAAATTATATAATTTTTGAGTAAAATATCATTTTAAATAATATATTTTAAAAATGAGGGAATGTTGTTGGTGGCTGTTTGAGAAATGGTGATTACTGGTGGAGAGAGTGATTGTTGCTAATAATCTGAAAGCAGGTCTGACCTAAAGAGAAAGGATGATGGACATTACTCATATTTACTTCTTTTTTTATATTATTTTTAATTTATTTATGAATTAGTTTATATTAATATGTTTTTATATATATATTTTTATTTTTTGTAATTGAAGATTAATAATAATTTTTTTAAACATATTTTATACACAAAAGAATGACTAAAGATAATATAATTATTGAGTAGAACGTTGATCACATTAATGAAAATAGAAAATTCTTTTTATTATTATTGATTTTTTTAGTTTTTAAAAATTAAAAAAATAAAATTA